AAGCTCTCCAAAATCAAAGATAAGGAGAAACTCCTGAAAGCAGCTAGGGAAAACAGAAGTGTTATATACAAAGACAAACAAGTCAGATTAAGCTCGGATCTCTCAGCAGAAACCATGCAAGCAAGAAGCCAATGGGGAGACATATATAAAACCCTGAAAGAAAAACAAAAACAAACTGCTAACCAATAATCCTTTATCCAGCAAAGCTCTCAATCAAATATGATGGTGTAATCAATACATTCCAGGATAAACAGAAACTAAGGGATTTTCCAAAGGCAACCCTGTGCTACAAGACATCTTAAAGGGAGTTCTGTGGACTGAGAACCAACAAGAACAGACAACCAGAAACTGACTTACATGGCAGTACATCCCAGAACTCAATCAACAGATGGAAGAGTAAAGAACAGAACTAAACTATAAGAACAAACTCAGAGAATCTGGGAGGTCAGTCTATAATCAAAACAATTACAATGTAAATAAGGTAAACACATAGGTACAGAGATCCAGATGGTAAGAAGGTCAGGTAGATTACAGGATAAAATAGACTACACTAAATGGAGGGAAAAGTTAACGGACTATAAGGTAACCTCAAACAAAATTAACACTTCACAACATACCAAGAAAATCAAAATCCAAGAACATGGTAACATTAAAACTATGAGGAACCTCACAAGAAAGAAGACAAAAAGCATGAACTCAGCAAAGGAAGACACACAGAACAAAGAAAGCAGCAACACCACACAAAAAACAAACATAATGGTAGCAATTAATCCATGCCTATTGATAATTACACTGAATGTAAACTAATTAAATGCACCAGTTAAGAGACGGAGGGTGGCAGGAGGGATAAGAAAACAAGATCCTTCAATATGCTGTCCGCAAGAGACACATTGCACACACAGAGACAAAAGCAGATTAAAAGTCAAAGGATGGAAAAAATATATACCAAGCTAATTGCAATAAAAAGCGAACAGGAGTGGCAGTACAAATCTATGATAAAATAAACTTTAAGGCAAAAACCAGCATAATACATAAAGATGGACATTATCTCATGATTAAAGGGACAATTGAATAAGATGACATAACTATAATAAATATCTATGCTCCCAATGAAAGAACTCCAAAAGATATAAAGCAAACTCTAAGAGATTTGAAGAAAGAAATAGACGAACCTACAAAAATAGTGGGTGATTTTAACACACCATTTTCAAAAATGGATAGAACAACCAGAAAGAAACTTGACAAAGACACAGAAGAACTGAACAACACAATCAGCCAACTGGACCTAATAGATAGGTACAGAGCATTCAACCCAACAACAGCACAATACACATTCTTTTCCAATGCAAATGGAACAGTCTCCAGAATAGACCATGTTTTAGGCCACAAAACAGACCTCCATAAATTTACAAATATCAAAATACTACAAAGCATCTTCTAAGACCTCAATGCTAGCCAATTAGAAATCAACACTAGGACGGCCAAGGAAATAAAGTAAAATATATGGAAACCGAATAACACCCTGCTGAAAAGTGACTGGGTAGTAAAAGAAATTAAAAACAAACTCATGAATTTCTTAGAAACAAACGAGAATGAAAACACAACATACCAAAATCTTTGGGATACGGCAAAAGCGGTGTTGAGAGGACAATTTATTACAATAAATGTGCACATCCAAAAAGAAGAAAGAACCAAAATTAACACATTAACACAGCATTTCCAACAATTAGAAACAGACCAACAGCGGGATCCTACAGCCAACAAAAGAAAAGAAATAATAAAGATTAGAGCAGAAATAAATGAGATAGAAAACAGAAAAACTATAGAAAGAATCAAAAGGACAAGAAGCTGGTTCTTTGAAAGGATTAACAAAATTGACAGACCATTGGCAAACCTAACAAAAGGAATGACACATCAGACAAGGGACTCATTTCTAAAATATATAGGAAACTACAACACCTCTACAAGAAAAAGACAAATAGCCTAATTAAAAAATGGGGACAGGACATGAACAGACACTTCACCAAGGAGGGAGATCCAGGCAGCCAACAACATATGAAGAAATATTCATGATCACTAGCCATTAGAGAGAAGCGAATCAAAACAACAATGAGATATCATCTCACACCAGCAATAATAGCAAAGATAAAAAAAGTAGCAGACAATAAATGCTGGTGAGGATATGGAGAGACTGGGATGCTTCTACATTACTGGTGGAATTGCAAAATGGCCCAACCACTCTGGAAAGCAATATGGGGCTTCCTCAGAAGGCTGAAAACAAAAATACCTTATGATCCAGCAATTCCTCTACCTGGTATTTACCCACAAGAAATACAACTCATAACATGAGTAAATATATGCACACCAATGTTCATAGCAGCACTATTTACAATAGTAAAAAGATGGAGGCAGCCAAAGTGCCCATCAACTGAAGAATGGATAAACAAACTGTGGTACATACACACAATGGAATATTATGCTACCTTAAAGAATAACAAGGAAGCTGCAAGCCACCGCATAACATGGATGAACCTTGAGGACATTATGCTGAGTGTAATTAGTCAGTTACAAAAGGAGAAATACTGCATAGGACCACTATTGTAAAAGACTAAGAAAAAGAACCCATACTAAAGGGGTGTGGGGGATTCTTTGCTGGTTACTGGGATGTGGAGGGTGATGTGGGGGAGGGAGGGGAAGGTGGAGCACAGGGCAGGAAATAGATACAGGATAGTTTGGGTGCTAGAGAGGGGGACAATATACAAGAAGGGGGAGGGGGATGGAAGAACAGAGCAGAAGGGAAAACAATTAGGCAGGTTTGCATAGGCTAAGTGGGACAGAGGTTAAGAATGATGTATGCACAACCTTGGAACAATAGGGATCTGGGATACTGGGATTGAGACATGGTTGGAATGAGGAAAAGGGGGGGAATAATGTTAAGATGCTTGGCTGTTTTTTGAATCCTGGTTTCCCTGGCATACTATTATAAAACAGACAATTGAGAGGAGAGAAAGAAATAGCCAGAAACATCACCTTGAGGTTAGCAGTCCAGCGTGTATCTACAGTGCCACTGACCAGGACTTGGTTACATATTTTGGAGGGATACAACTCAGTCCATATTCCACAGGCTCTTCAGTGACCGATTTTTGTAATTGCCATACTTTTTCTTTCAAATCATGTGTTTAATGCTTTCTTATTTGTTAATCTCTTCTTTCTTATTTTATTCTTTGAGCAATTCATAAGTTTTAAGTTTATTTTGCATTGTTTCTCTTTCTTTTTTTTTTTAAACCTTTTTTTTCTCATATAGCACAAATGTATTCTCTCAGATATCCTCCTTCTGCCACCTTTAAATCTATTTTTTTTAAATTCAGTGGAAAGCTGAGAAAATAAAACTAGTTATAGTTAAAGACAGGCACATTTCCATGTGACCTTTTGTCTCCCGAGTTATGCATATTTACTAGAAATAAAATTTCTAAAACCTCTTTCACCATCACATTAACACCTAATGATGTTTTGTTTGAATGTCTTTTCTGTAGTACACTGAAATCATATTTGTAGACTCAGATACAGAAGATGCTGCCGAAGTGCAAGATGAAAGTGCTGGTAAATAAGTTTACTTTAAAATAATAGCAAGAATGTTATGGCCATGAGTGCTGATTATTGCAGTTTTTGAAACAGCGAGAAGCTGGTAATCAGATCAGTGTTTATTGGTAAGGAACTGGTCAGATCAGTCATGGTCAGATTAGACTCTCATGGACAGCTAAACTGCACAGCAGTATTTCATCCTTCATGATTTTCCAAAAACTGGGTAAAATAATTTCTTCCATGGTGACCCATGCTACTGTTTATTCTTCAGTTAACACTTTTCTGCTTCCCCTGTGATTGTGAACTTGTCTTTATTTCATGGAGAGCAGAGAGGCAAAGGAGCATGCTCAGTGAGCTATCTTAAACTAAACACTCATAAGAATGCAGATAGATCTGTAGGTGACAAGGCTATCAGTTTCTAACAGTTCTTTGAATAATGAACAATTGAAACTCCACCCCTACAGATTCTGAGCTGATGGATCATGGGTATGAATCTAATGCTCTGAATTAAAATTCAAATGAAAACTCACCAGTGTCTACTTACCCATTTTTTTACTTACTGACTAAAATCTCTTGCAAATTTTGCCCTGTGCTCAAATATAAGAAATGTATTTTGATTCAAAGTTGAAAAAAGCTTGGGTAGTTTAAGTGCCCTAATAAGATACAAAGCTATCGATGAACAAAAATTCACCGGATGTTAGGGATTCATAATGCTAATTGTTAAATGCTTTATTATTCAGATTTTGTGTCAAGAAACTGAAATTCTTCTATTTTTTCCCTAGAGGAACATTTTAATATTGTTATTATCAGACCTGATACAGTACATAGTAGAAAAGTACACGAAATTAAAACAATAGTAAGTAATATTTTCTAACAATGGTTTGAATTCATTATAAAATTGTAGGTGTCATTGAGTCTATTCCAATTCACTTATGACTGGAGTTGTTATTGCTAAGTGTTGTCGAGTCAGTTCTGCCCCATAATGACCCTGTATAGGGCTTTCAAGGAACAGCTGGTGAGCTTGAGCTGCCGACCTTGTGGTTCAAACCAACTTTTCAGTCCAGTGCATTAACCCATATTGCCACACCTGGACTCCGTATATCAGAGTAGAACTGGCTAGTTTTTTGGCGTTAGGTTATCAGGCTTTCCAGTTAGCAGCCAATCATGTTCACTGTTTGTACTATCCAAGGGTCCTTAACTGTCAATTTGGAGATAAGCTTAGTATTTAGAGGAAAAGTGTCTTTGTTGTTAAGTGTCTTTGAGTCCCTTCTGAGTGGCTGGTGGGTTTGAACTGCTAAGCTTTGGGTTAGTAGTCCAGTGCTTATCTTACAACACCATACCAGAGTGCCTAATAAATTGTTGCTGTTGTTAAGTGCTATGGAGTCAGTTCCAACCCATAGTGACTCTGTACTGGGTTTCCAAGGAGTGACTGGTGGGTTTGAACCGCCAACCTTGGACCTTGTGGTCCAGCACATTCTATACCACAGCGTCACACCAGGACTCCTAGTGAACTGCAGTGCCAGATAACTAAAGGTTTTGAGTGTTTTCTATCTGCACAAAAGCCTTCATCAACGGATGCATTATTGTTTAAATAACCTTGTCCTACCAGTATCAGATATAAATTATAAAAGTTAAATTTCATATATTATATTGAATTACATATACTTTGTGTTTAATTATTAGTAATGAAATTTTGTTAATAGTTCTCATTAGCTTACTTTCTTCTCTGTATATTGTCACAAATGTATGGTCCTTATAAATGCATGCTCACTTAAGGAAGCATTTAAATTTTTTCCTTAGAGACGAAATAAATTTTTTTGTTTTTTAGATTGAGGAAAATTTTATTCTAGGACAAAAGTCATCAAACATGTTTGATGATGCATGTTGTTGTTGTTGTTATGTGCCATGTACAGGGTTTCCAAGGCTGTAAACCTTTACGGGAGCAGAAAGCCTCATCTTTTTCCCGCGGAACAGCTGGTAGTTTCGATCTGCTGACTCTAGGTTAGCAGCCTGATTCATAACCACTATGCTACCAGAGAACTCCTTGATGGTGCATGTAGGGGATTATAATCATTGCAGGGAAATGAAATATGATAGGATGAATGTAAAGATAATGTTCTCCCAAGTAAACTAACACATAATTCACAATAAAAACTTTAAAAAAATTAAAAAGTCACCGAACGGCTTCTGTAAAGGGCTTGAATATGAGTGCTTTAGACTTTGCAGGGCATAATGTATCTGTTGTAACTAATCACATCCAACATAGTATAAAGATAGCTTCCAAAGCAAAACCCATTGCTATGCTCTATAGAAACCTTGTTTACAAAAACAGGTGGCAGGCCTGTGGAAGGACTACGGAACTCTTGATAAACTTCTTATCTTGTATTCATTGATTAGCTGTAGTTGCATTAGCACTGATTAAACTACAGTAACATACCCTATCAAAATTCCAACATTTACATAAATGAAATGTATTTATAGAATGATAAAAAATCAACTTTATATGGAATGACAAGAGGCCCATAATGTCTAAAGCAATTTTGAAGAACAAAGTAGGAGTGCTCACATTTCCTGATCTCAAAAACTATTTTACAGTTACAGTAATCAAAAAGGAACCCTGGTAGCATAGTGGATTACGAGCTGGACTGTTAACTGCAAGGTCAGCGGTTCGAATCTAACAGTCGTTCTGTGGGAGAAAGATGGCTTTCTGCTACCTAAAGATTTAAAGCTTTGGAAACCCTATAGAGGATCATTGAGTCAGAACTGACTTCACAGCACACAACCACCATCACCACCATAGTAATCAAAACAGCCTGTTTTGTTGTTGTTGCTGTTCAGTGCCATTGTGTCAGTATCAACTCATAGTGACCTTGTACAGAGTCTCTGAGGTTGTAAATCTTTGTGGAAGCAGAAAACCTTAATCTTTCTCCCCCAACAGCCTGTTACTGGTATAATAATAGACGCATAAACTAATGTAATAGAATTGTAAGTTCAAAAAATAAGTCCACACGTCTCTGGTCAACTGACTTTTGACAAGGGTGTTAAGTCCATTTAATGGAGGAAAGAAAAGTCTCCTCAATAAATGGTGTTGGGAAAATTGGATTTCTACATGCAGAAAAATGGAGCAGGATTCATGCCTCATTGTTGTTAGGCACCATGGGGCCAATGCTGGCTCATAGCGACCCAGCATAGGGTTTCCAATATGCAACTGATGAGTTTGAACCACTGACCTTATGGTTAACAGTTCAGTGCTTACCCTACAGTGCTAGGACTACTCATGCCTCACTACCATACCAAAAAGCCATAATAGACTACGATCCTAAAAGCAAACACTAAAACCATAGAATTTTTAGAAGAAACTATAGAGGCAAGACTGTCCAGTTTAGCTTCTAACAATGGATTATCTCAAACAACAAAAGCACAAACAGCAAAAGACAAAATAAATTAATGGAACTTCATTAAAATTAAATCGTTTTGGTTATCAAAAGACTTTACCAAAAAAGTGAAAAGACAAACTATCCTTTGGAAAAATATCTAAAGAAACCATTTATCTGATAAGAATTTAATAATAAAATATATATATAAAACTTCAAAAATGTAACAAGAAAAAGACACACCTAATTTTAAAGAAATGGGCAAAGGACTTGAGTAGATGTTTCACCAAAAAGGATATTCAAATGGTCACAAACTCATGAAAAGATGCTCAACATCCTTAGTCATCAGAATAATACAAATCAAAATGTTGAGATATCATTGCATCTCTAGTAGGATGGCTAAAGGAGTTCTGGGAGCATAGTGGTTACGAATTAGGTTGCTAACCTCAAGGTCAGCAGTTCGAAACTGTTCCGTGGGAGAAAGATGAGACATTCTGCTCCTGTAAAGTTTTCCATCCTCGGAAACCCTGTACATTGTTGCAATGATTCACATACCACCACCACCACCATCAGCATGACTAAGGTGTCCTGGTGTGGCTCTGAAGCACTAGACAGCTAAGCACAAGGTTGGTGGTTCAAACCCACCAGCTTCTCCTCAGAAACCCTATACAGGGTCTCTATGAGTCAGAACTGACTTGACAACACACACAAAGATGGCTAAGATTTTAAAAAACGGGAATCACTGGAAAATAACAAATGTTGGTGAGAGTATGGGAAAATTGAAAAACTTACTCACTGCTGTTGGTTCGCAAACTGATATAGCCGTTCAAAATGGTGGAGCCTTTATGGAAAAGAGTGTGCTGGTTCTTAAAAAAAATAAAAAACTAAAACAACAACTACCATATGACCCAACAGTCCCACTGTTGGGATATACTCAAGGGACTTGAAAGCGTCATCACAAACAGACATATGTACACACACCATTGTTAATTACAGCATTGTTCACAATAGCCAACAGCTGGAGACAACCTAAATGCCCATCAACAGAAGGATAGATTTAAAAATGTGGTATACAATGGAATATCACTCCATATTCCATTGTATACCACATCTTTAAATCTATGAAGAGAAATCAGTTTTTAAATCTATGAAGAGAAATCAGTTTTAAATCTATGAAGAGAAATCAGTCCTGATACATGATTTAATATAGATAGAACCTGAAGACATTATGCTGAGTGAAATAAGTTAATCACACAAGGGCAAACAATGGATTCTTCCATATTCATAGTGGAATGATTACTAAATTTCAAAAACAGTGAATTTTGAAAAAGTGATATCAAAGTATTTCGTATTGTAAAATGAAAGTCTGCAGAGAGCCCATTAGTCCAACACTCAGGCTTGAAATGGTCATTTTAAAGAGATTTCATCCCTTTTTATGGTATCCTTGAATTGGAAAAGTCATTGAAAATGTTTTATCAATCACTGTGGGACAAATGAAAGATCCCTGGTAGAAGAGTGGATTACAAACTGGAAGTCCAAATCAGCCAGTCACTCTGCAGGAGAAAGACGAGACTTTCTCTTCCCATAAAAATGTACAGCCTCAGCCAACAAACATACCAAGAAATGCTCACGATCATTAGCCACTAGAGAGCTGCAAATCCAAACAACAATGAGATATCATCTCAAACCAGCATTAGTAGCTAAGCTCATAAAAACAGAAAACAACAAATACTGGTGCAGGTGTGGAGAGACTCGGACCCTTTTACATTGCTGGTGGGACTGTAAAATGATGCAACCACTGTGGAAAACAGTATGGTGTTTCTTCAGAAAGTTGGAAATCAAAATACTGTTATGACCCAGTAATCCCTCTACTTGGTATATATCCACAAGAAATAAGAGCCTGTACACAAGAAGATGTCTGGACACCTATATTCACTGAGTCCTGGAGTGGCACTGTGGGTTAAGACGCCAGACTGTTAAGTCATTTGAACTGCAAGGTTGGCAGTTCAAGCTCACCAGCTGCTCTTCAGAAACCCTATACAGGGTTGCAATAAGTCAGAACTGACTTGACACTTAATAACAACAGTACTCATGTCAGCACTATTCACAATTGCAAAAAGACGGAGACAGCCTAAATACCCATCAATGGAAGAGTGGAGAAACGAACTTTGGTACATAGACACATTGCAATATTATATAATATAGAAGAAGAATTAATCTGCAAAACACCTCATAGCATGGATTAACCTGAAGAACATTATGCTGTGTGAAAGAAGCCAGTTACAAAAGAACAAATATGTATGAGACCGCTATTTTAAAAACTCAAGAAAGGTTTTCATACTAAAAGAAACATTCTTTGATGGTTACCAGGAGTGGGAGGGGAGGGAGAATCATTCATGGACTAGATGGTAGACAAATATTATTTTAGGTGTTGTTGCTGTTGTTAGTACTATCTAGTCAATGTGAGTTTGAACTGTCTACCTTGTGGTCCAGTGCATTACACAGGACTCAGGTGATGGGGAGGGTAATGTACAAGAAGTGAGGGATTGGCTTAATGGTGAAGCTAGGTAAAGACTTAGGGAGATATGCAAGGGCTAAAGGGCATAGAGGTTGTTGTTAAGTGCTATTGAGTTGGTTCAGACTCATAGTGATCCTGTGTAGGGTTTCCAAGGAGTAGCTAGTAGGTTTGAATTACCAACATTGTAGTTCACAGTAGATAGTAATATATACACAACCTTGGAACAACAGCATTCTGTGTATAACTACATAGACAGAAATACAGACTGAATGGGTATGGGAGGAAAAATGGAAGATATATATTTCTATGTCCCACAAACCTGTAAGTGTTTGAAAGAGGATATTTGTACATGAGTGACCACAGAGAGGACATGGGACAACTGTTATTGCATGGAGGGAAATGCAATCATTGTTGAATGTAAAACTGATGATCTTGTCTGTAAGCTTCACTCAATTCGCAAAAAAAAAATTTTTTTTTTTAAATAAGATTTATAGCCACGGAAACCCTATTATAGGGTTGCTGTGAGTTGGAACCAACTCGGTGGCACACAGTGACTACCACCATGGGACCAGTGAGGAGTACAGTGAATGACTCCGTAGAATAGGTACTGGTCTGCAAACAGTAAGGCCAGCAGTTCAAGGCCAGCAGCCGCTTCATGAGAGAAAGATGAGGCTTTCTGCTACCACAAAGATTTACAACCTCAGAAACCTTATACAGGGTCGCTGTGAATCACAACCAACTTCATGGCATTTATCAACAACAATAACACATGAAAAAGAATGTGCAAATGCATAGAGAACAAAGTTTATTAGTAACCACCATGGGTGGGAGGAAGATGGAATGACAAGGTTATTGTTTATGGAACTTGTGTCGTTCTTAAGTGCCATCAAGTCTGTTCCAACTCATAGCAGCCCAATACAGGGTGTCTGAGGAGCCACTGGTAGGTCTGAACTGACGACTTTGCAGTTGTAACAGTCCAGTGCTTATCCTTCATAGTCACACCAAGACTCCTGAGTTTCAATTTCTGCTGATGATACATTTGATTGATTAAGGGTAAGGGCTGCACAGCTGATTTATGTAATTGATGTCAACAAATTGTACACCTGTAAATTGCTGAATTGGTAAAAGTGATGTGATAGGTACATTTATAACAACAACAACAACAGAGTAACTGCTATGTACAACCATAGAGCTGATGGAATTTGTCTTCTCGGCTTTGGAGGGTTTGAAGGCTCAAGGTTATGGTTTCATGGGGCTTCCCAATTCGTTGACTTGCTATCATGTTTAGTGCTTCTGTTTTGACTCCTGGTAGTGTAGTGTTCCGGGTCTTAAGAGCTTGTAAGCAACCATTCAAGTCACAACAATTGGTGTCTGTTCTGTCAAAGCAGGGGTGGAGAAACTTTCTTTTTCCAAGGGCCTTTTGGATATTTATAACGGCATACAAAATTATCAACTTAAAATTAACCTGCTACATTTGGGTGGCTGGAACTGTGTTTGCCTTGGCAGAGCCAGACCAAATGATTTTGAAGTCCTTGTACAGCCCATGGGCTGGATGTTCCCCACCCTGAGCAACAGTGGAAAGAGTCAGGAATAGGAAGAAGAAATGGACTGCATGGCTAACTGCCTCCATGATCAACTGCCTCCTTTGCCAGAAGACCAGAACCGGTTGATGCCCAGCTACCATTACTAAGCATTTTGATCAAAGATTCTATCAGAATGCTTATCAGAAGGGTAAAACATGTAGAAGAGAATTTTAAATTTCTACGGAAGCCAGGTGTTCTGGAGCCATTGAGGCTGGATGAACCCCTGAAACTATTGCTTCAAGGCTATCTTTAAACCATAAACCAAAAACATCTCTCAAGTCTTCTTTAAACCAAATCATACTCATTGTCAGAAACTACCTGAGAGCAACAGCTAACAAAACATTGTTGTTGTTAAGCATCATCGAGTTGGTGCCTCCTCATAGTGACCATATATAGAGTTTCTGAGGAGTGACAGGTAGGGTTGAAGTGCCAACCTTGTGGTTAGCAGACCATTGCTTTTTCTACAATGCCATACCAGGGCTCCAATGAAACAATTGTTAAGTGCTGTCAAGTCAATTCTGACTCATAGTGATCCTGGATAGGGTTTCCAAGAGTGAGTGGTGGGTTTGAACTGCTAAGCAGTTCAGTGCTTATCCTATGGCACTACACCACATCTCCAATTAAACAATAGTTTTTGTTGTTGTTGTTAAGTGTCGTCGAGTCAGTTCTGACTCATAACCACCCTATGCAGGGTTTCCAAGGAGCAGCTGGTGGGTTTGAACTGCTAACCTTAAGACTCAAACAGGCCTTGCAGTCTAGTGCATTATCCTACAGGTCACAGCAGGACTCCTAGCTTAATCAATAAAGACTCTATCTTGAGCATTGTGTTTTTTTCACATAACTAAAAAGGATTAAGTGGATAACAGATGCTCAAAAGATTAGACAGGAAACTCAGTGGGGAGCGAATTCCTGTTGTAGGGAGGTAGAGTTTGGGAAGGCAGGGAGAGAATGGTTGCTCAAGGTGAAGACTGTAATAAATGTCCCTGGATTCTGCCTGTAGAAAATGTTGAATTGATGTATGTTCTCTTGTAAGGATTCTCAAAACAACGAAAAGAAAAGAAATTATTAAAACAATGTTTGAAAAGTAAAACAAAGAAAAAACCTGCAATAGAATGCATGGTACACAGATCACAGGTACGGTACCCCAGTCTCTTCCAATTATATGCTGATTCAGTTAGTACAACTCTATGAGGGGGCTTCAAAATAGAAAAAAACTTTAATAAAATGGTCTTTTGATTCTATTTTTCCACTAACTTTTAAAAGCCCTCTTATATAAGGGTGGAGTCCTGGTGTGGCACTGTAGAATAAAACACTGGACCACAAGGTTGAATTGAACCAGAAGGGTCGGCAGTTCAGACTCACCAGTTACCCCTTGGAAACCGAATATGAGTTGGAACCTACTCGACACCACTTAACAACTAGTGTTTTACTCCCTTGTTCGAATGTGTTTTTGGTTTTTTTAAGGTTTTATTGTGAATTATGTGATAGTTTACATGGGAGAACATTAGTTTTATTCAAATATGTTTTAATAGTCATGTTAGTGAAGGTTTCAAAATCATATACGTTTTTTTAGTTGGTTCAATGTTATCAATCACCAGTTCATCTTATATTTTTTGGCTTCAGAGTAATGAACATTTCAGAGATTTAATGAACATTTGCTAAAGACCTTAGCTCTCTGAAATGTAGTATGAGCCTACATAACAGATAAAATAAGAAATATAGGAATATTTTGAAAAAAAGAAAAATGAGCACAGAGTATGTAGTTTATTTACAGTTAAAGATCTACTTAAATAATCTCTGGTTTAAGTGTTGCAAGCTTACGTATCAGAAGGGTACGCAAAGGGCCTTCTTTGCCTATATGTTTGTGACCAGTTTAAAACCTATGGAACAGGCTGAGGTGTGTACATAAAACACATTCTATTCTGGATGGTTTGTTAAGCACCGGAAATCAATGTCTTGTCTTCCATGTGCTCCCTTGGCATTTCTGGATTTGACCTTACTCTCCAACTGAAAGATCACAAAGGGAGGATTTGTCATAGAAGCAGAGGACAAGAGAAGACTCACTGAAGAAGTTGTTAGGGACTTCTATAGTAAAATGGCAGATGAGGTAAGAAACTAAAAAACAAAGACCAAACTCACTGAGATTTTCAAATTGAGTTGCCATAAACTTCAGATCCCCATTATAGAAATATCAGTAATTTTGACCAACCCAGTAAGTTTCAGATGTCGGGGTCACTATCATGGTGATGCCAGTGATGGAACTATAGAGAAATCGTCCGTAGAATTTGTGGCACCTGAGCACAACCGGATGGTCTGATTTTGTTTGTGTATGTGTGTGTGTGTTTTGGGTTGTTTTGTTTTTGGTGTGAAGACCTCTTTATTTCATGATGTCCAAGACTCTCTGCATCAACATTTTGAAAGTGAATATCCAGTCCTTTCCATATAGTCTTACTCTGGATTGAATGTTCCTAGTCATCAGCTACAGAGAAATACTTTTTCTTGACCTAGAAATCTTTCTCTGAAGATACTTCTTTAATTCTCCTCTACCTGTGTAATATAATACAGGCAGTGACGTGTACTTTAAATTGTATTATCTTACCACTCAGGAAACATAGCTTCTAGAACTCCCTGTCCAATACAATAGGCACTAGATTATTTGAATTTAAAGGAATTAAGATTAGACAAAATGGAAAAATCAGTGTTTCAATTGTACAAACTGCATTTCAAGTATTCTATAGCTAAATGTGGAGTCCTGGTGTAGCACTGTAGGTTAAGAACTGGATTGCTAACCACAAGGTTGGCAATTCAAATCCACCAGCCACTCCTGGGAAAGTACATACAGAATAGCTATGAGTCAATAGGGCAGCATTTAACAACAGCAATAATAGCTAAATGTTGCTATAGTATGTACAGCACAGAAGAACATACACATTGAATCAGAAAACTCTATTGGATAGCACTTTCTAGAACTAAGTGCATAAGTCACAACAGTTTCTCCTGACCAAGGCTTCAAACCAGTTTGTAATGGTTTGACCCCCTGAAATTGCATCCCATGTATACTGAATCAGAATACACATTTTGGCAAGAATCTGATTCTAATTTTGTATATCTGGGGTTGTTGTTGTTGTTGTTGTTGTGTGCCGTGGAATTAGTTCCAACTCATAGTGACCCTGTACAGGGTTTCCAAGG